AAGTAATGTAGGAAACTTTACATGTATTTTAAACCAAAATTACTGAAAGTATTTACAGTCTATCACTTGGTATGTGGACACACTCTGAAAGATGTTTCTGACAAGTAAAGATTATGATAAAAATTATTTTTGGCAACATTCTCTGGTTTTGTTTTTTCTGAAAGAACATAGACAGCAAATTCTGTTACTACACTATACAGAAGTAGATATGTATATGTATGTTTCACATATTTTAAAGTGTTCATAATATAAAAAACTCAGGAAATTTGCTCTGAATTCAAAACCACCATTAGGCCATGGGTCAGGCATATTTTTACCACACAGATCTTGTTTCATTAATTCCATACAATGTGGGAAACTGGGACTTACGTACATACAAGGAGCCCTGATGAGCCAGTGCTGATTTTGAACATTAAAAATACTTGAAAAAGAAAACTAGAAATATCTAGTATACTTTATCACATCACATAAAACCAGTAAGCACACCCTCACTTAAATCTATTGACATGTTCTTGAAAAAATACTTACCATTTCTCCATCAAGTGGGTCATAAAATCTCTCGAGCAGCTGAACAACAGTACTCTTTCCACAGCCACTGCTACCAACAAGAGCCAGAGTTTGTCCCTTTTCTACTTTTAGATTCAAACCCTGGAGGATTTTGACCTCTGGTCGGTTTGGATAGTTAAATGCCACATCTTTGATGGTTATGTTTCCCTCAAATGTTTCCTGGAATTAAAAGAGCATCACTGTTACATGTGAAGGAACAAGATTCAGGATGGGAGCGGTTCCAGGCGTGGAGAAAGACATACAGCAATTGGCAGGACTTTAGTATATGGACTTTACTGCTATTATGTGGTTTCATTGTATCCACACTACACAGTGCACAGCCTGGGCATACCCGGGCTTGCCACGAGTTTGCCTGCTCCCTGCTTCCCCGCTCCCCTCTCTGATAGGCTGCAGAAGCTGCAGAGAGGAGACAGTTACCATTCGCCCTCTCCTTCCCCGGTTCCTCCCATGTTCCTCCCCCTTTGCCTGTGTCCCTACCCCGATTTGTTCCCCCGTTTGTCTGTCTCATGCTCCACCCCGTGTTCTAGCCCTTTCCCCGCCTGAACCCATAAAGCCTCAGGACACCTCAATAAAGTATTCCATTTGCACCTTTACCTTGTCTCCAGACCTGTCGGTGCTGTGTCACAGCCCTATCCTCCCTTTGACTGTGCCAGTTACCTCTTTAAGACAATTTCACAGATGATTCTAATAGAATTGCAGAAGTATTTACTCCCCTCCCCGAAATCAATAGGGGTTTTCCAAACAAATAACCTTTTGCCATTATGAGCAAAAGCTGGACTCACAACAGAGAACTTGGTCCATGTTGTGTTCAGATAAAGTGTCAAGAATGCATTGGCAAAAGGATGTAATCAGGAGAGGAAAAATCAGTTTGAAGGAAGTGAGAAGAGTGCTGTTCATATTACTGACAGAAAATATCACCCATTACACATGGCTTACTTACAGGCTTCTGTCCTTCCTCACTGTAACTATCTATTGAGGGCACTCTTTCAAACAGCTGAAACAGGTGGGCTGCTGATATCTTGGCTTTAGCATAGTCTGGAGCAAAAGAGCTGGTTTCTCCTAAGGCCATTGCACCAAATACAACAGCTGAAAACACTCTACAAAAGAAATCAGGGAAAAAATAATCAATAGACAATGGAGAAAAGGACAATGGAAATGGGGCTGCAGCCAACTTTTTCTTTCACTCAGAGAAAAAAGAGGGCTAAATTTAGAAAGAGTAAAGTAGTAACCAACTATTATTGCTTCAATTACTCATTTAGCTCCAGAAATTCCTTTTTCACCCTCTTTCAATGATGTGAAATAAACATGTCTGCATTCTAAATTCAGTATTTGCATTACTTATTATCACTAATTTCTTTAGTTATTAATACTGATTAAGTATATTACATCTCAGCTGAGACTATAAGGAAAGGGTCAATGGATGGCAAAATTGTTACTCTAATCCTGCTATTGCTATGGTTTCCTCTCTATGGTTCCATGATTTTTGGGAGTTAGCGATCAGTTTTTAAGGCATCAATGAAAATAAGAAATCAAGCCTGTAACAAGGTGACAATAAAGATTTAATTTTCTATCACAGCTCTGATGGAAAAAATAGCATGGTTTACAATACTGAAAAGGGTTGAAAACTATGCTATTATTGTTTTGTGGTGATTTTTATGTAATTTTATGAAATTTTATGTAATTTTATAGGCTACATTAGAATAGTTTAAGAACCTA